CCCGCTGCCCAGCTACCAGGTGTCGGTGCCTGAGAACGAGCCCGCGGGCACGGCGGTCATCGAGCTGCGCGCCCACGACCCCGACGAGGGCGAGGCGGGGCGCCTGAGCTACCAGATGGAGGCGCTGTTCGACGAGCGCTCCAACGGCTACTTCCTCATCGACTCGGCCACGGGCGCGGTCAGCACGGCCCGGGCCCTGGACCGCGAGACCAAGGACACGCACGTGCTGCGGGTCAGCGCCGTGGACCACGGCTCGCCGCGCCGCTCGGCCGCCACCTACCTCACCGTGACGGTCAGCGACACCAACGACCACAGCCCGGTCTTCGAGCAGTCCGAGTACCGCGAGCGCGTGCGCGAGAACCTGGAGCTGGGCTACGAGGTGCTGACCATCCGCGCCACCGACGGCGACGCGCCCTCCAACGCTGACATGCGCTACCGCCTGCTGGGGGGCGGCGGCGGCGTGTTCGAGATCGACGCGCGCTCCGGGGTGGTGCGCACCCGCGCGCTGCTGGACCGCGAGGAGGCGGCCGAGTACCGCCTGCTGGTGGAGGCCAACGACCAGGGCCGCAACCCGGGCCCGCTCAGCGCCACGGCCACGGTGCACATCGTGGTGGAGGACGAGAACGACAACTACCCCCAGTTCAGCGAGAAGCGCTACGTGGTGCGCGTGCCCGAGGACGTGGCCGTCAACACCCCCGTGCTCCGCGTGCAGGCCACGGACCGCGACCAGGGCCAGAACGCGGCCATCCACTACAGCATCGTCAGCGGCAACCTGAAGGGCCAGTTCTACCTCCACTCCCTGAGCGGGAGCCTGGACGTCATCAACCCGCTGGACTTCGAGGCCATCCGCGAGTACACGCTGCGCATCAAGGCGCAGGACGGGGGCCGGCCCCCGCTCATTAACTCCTCGGGCCTGGTGTCCGTGCAGGTGCTGGATGTGAACGATAACGCCCCCATCTTCGTGAGCAGCCCCTTCCAGGCGGCCGTGGTGGAGAACGTGCCCGTGGGCCACTCCGTGCTGCACATCCAGGCCGTGGACGCGGATGCCGGGGAGAACGCACGCCTGCGCTATCGCCTGGTGGACACGGCGTCCGCTGCCCTGGGTCGCGGCGGCAGCGCCGGTCCCGAGGACCCCGTCTCCGCCCGGGACTTTCCCTTCCAGATCCACAACAGCTCGGGTTGGATTACCGTGTGTGCCGACCTGGACCGGGAGGAGGTGGAACGCTACAGCTTTGGTGTGGAGGCGGTGGACCACGGCTCGCCACCCATGAGCTCGTCGGCCAGCGTGTCCATCACCGTGCTGGACGTAAACGACAACGACCCCATGTTCACGCAGCCCGTGTACGAGCTCCGTCTGAACGAGGACGCGGCGGTGGGGAGCAGCGTGCTGACCCTGCAGGCCCGGGACCGCGACGCCAACAGCGTGATCACCTACCAGCTGACCGGAGGCAACACCCGCAACCGCTTCGCGCTCAGCAGCCAGAGCGGCGGCGGCCTCATCACCCTGGCGCTGCCGCTGGACTACAAGCAGGAGCGGCAGTACGTGCTGGCCGTGACGGCGTCCGACGGCACGCGCTCGCACACCGCGCAGGTCTTCATCAACGTCACGGACGCCAACACCCATCGGCCCGTGTTCCAGAGCTCCCACTACACAGTGAGCGTCAAGGAGGACCGGCCCGTGGGCACCTCCATCGCCACCATCAGTGCCAGCGACGAGGACACGGGGGAGAATGCGCGCATTACCTACGTGTTAGAGGACCCCGTGCCGCAGTTCCGGATCGACCCCGACACCGGCACCATCTACACCATGACGGAGCTGGACTACGAGGACCAGGCCGCCTACACCCTGGCCATCACTGCCAGGGACAACGGCATCCCGCAGAAGTCAGACACCACCTCCCTGGAGATCCTGATCCTCGACGCCAACGACAACGCGCCCAGGTTCCTGCGGGATTTCTACCAGGGCTCTGTGTTTGAGGACGCGCCCCCGTCCACCAGCGTCCTCCAAGTCTCTGCCACTGACCGGGACTCGGGCCCCAATGGCCGCCTCGTGTACACCTTCCAGGGCGGGGATGACGGCCATGGAGACTTCTACATCGAGCCCACGTCCGGCGTGGTCCGCACCCAGCGCCGGCTGGACCGAGAGAACGTGGCTGTGTACAACCTGCGAGCTCTGGCGGTGGACCGGGGCAGCCCGGCTCCCCTCAGCGCCTCTGTGGAGATCCAGGTGGCTGTGCTGGATATCAACGACAACCCGCCTGTGTTCGAGAAGGATGAGCTGGCGCTGTTTGTGGAGGAGAACAGCCCCGTGGGGTCCGTAGTGGCGAGGATTCAGGCCCACGACCCGGACGAAGGCCCCAACGCGCAAATCATGTACCAGATCGTAGAGGGCAATGTGCCAGAGGTCTTCCAGCTGGACCTGCTGAGCGGGGACCTCCGAGCCCTGGTGGAGCTGGACTTTGAGGTCCAGAGGGACTACGTGTTGGTGGTCCAGGCTACGTCGGCCCCCCTGGTCAGCCGGGCCACGGTGCGCATCCGCCTCTTGGATCAGAACGACAATCCACCCGAGCTGCCCGACTTCCAGATTCTGTTCAACAACTATGTCACCAACAAGTCCAACAGCTTCCCCAGTGGGGTGATCGGACGCATCCCAGCCCACGACCCCGACCTGTCGGACAGCCTCAACTACACCTTCCTGCAAGGCAACGAACTGCACCTGCTGCTGCTGGACCCCGCCACGGGCGACCTGCAGCTCAGCCGGGACCTGGACAACAACCGGCCGCTGGAGGCGCTCATGGAGGTGTCTGTGTCCGGTGAGTGGCCTGGGGACGGGAGGGGCTGCTCCCTGGGGGCTGCGCAGAGAGCCCCGGGGACCCACCAGGAGCCCTGCTGGCATGCCGGGGCACATCCGGGCAGGGCATCGGCTGCCCAGGTCATGGGCTTGCCAGACCTGGCGAGGTGGGGGAGGCGTTGGTTGCTTCCCTCTGCAGTTTTGCAGGGAGCAGGCCTGGACTTCTTCAAGTTCAAGTGCAGGGATTCTGGGTGCTTTTCCAGAGTGATGCCAATAAACCCTGGCCCCAGGGTTATCCGGGTCATCTGGTTTGTTCAGTGATGTCCTCTAGTCTGCTTGTCTCATAGGGAGGTGTCTGGAAGGATCAAAGGTCACTGCCTGCTCCAATGTGCCAATTAGCTCCTGGGTGGGACCGTTGGAAATTGCAGGATGGTTCCTGAGTCAGCCTGTAATACGTCTGCCGTTCGCTGGTCTTGCTTCTCTGTCTCCTCCAGATAATAACAAGGACCGGCTCAGGGTGGCTGTCTCTGAGCTGCTTTTTGAAAAGCGCAGTGCTGTTTGATCTCTGCTCGTGGTCACGGGCTTTTCCTTTGAGAGTGTGTTGAGAGGCCCCTGTCTCACAGGTGGAGCTGGTGTGGGATCCCAGCGGCCCTGCTCCCAGCCAGAAGGGAGAGGAAATGTCTGTCTGTCGCCAAGGCTGGGCGGCCACGTGGGCCGTCGACGCAGCTGACCCCTGCCTGCCAGGCCTGTGGGGTGGGGGCCAGGAGGACAGTGGAGGGTATGGGAAGTGGGAGACCCGGAGGAGAGGGGTTTGGGCCGGGTGAGGGAACAGTGAAGGGGCCCCCAGGGGCTCTGTGAGGGGCCCTGTCTACTTGGCTGGTGTCCCGAGATGCGATGCAGGCAGGTGACCAAAATACCACCCAGAAGGGCTCAGGTCTGTGGGTGGTTGAGGCCAGGCTTCAGAGGAGCCCTATTTGAAACAGTGAATGATTAGGACACAGTGTTGCTTTGGGGGCTCTACAAAAGTTACTTTTCCCCCTGGCCCTGTTTGTACAGATGGCCGCTGTTTTGACCCAGGAAGGCGGGCAGCCAGACGTTTCCTTGCCCGGCTGTCTCCTGGCAGGTTCTGGGGCTGCTGCTGTAAAGAGATGCATGGAGCCGGGCGCCGGTGGCTCACGCCTGTCATCCCAGCTACTCAGGAGGCTGAGCTCTGAGGCTCAGGGTTCAAAGCCAGCCCAAGGAGCAAAGTCTGTAAGACTTATCTCCAATAAACCACTCAGGAAACCAGAAGTGGCGCTGTGGCTCAAATGGTAGAGCACCAGCCTTGAGCTGAAGAGCTGAGGGACAGCGCCCAGGCCCAGAGTTCAGGACCCACGGCCAACCACCCACCACCACCCCAGAAAAAAAAAAAAAAGATGCAATGCTCAGCAGCTGCTCTGGCGCTGGCGCTGACAGCGTCTACCTGTTCACAAGTGTTCTAGGCTGTGTGAAGTGGTGAAAGGTACCAGGAATACAGAATAGTCTCTCAGTGACACATCGCTAGCCAGGGGTGCTGTTTATTTCCCTGCACCCCTTTATCTGCTAGGGAAAGCAGAGTGAACCATTTGGCCCCATGTGCCAAGGAACAGCTTGACACAAGCAGGGCTTAGAGTTGGGGGCAGGCTCCGTGCGGGGGCGGGAGCAGGGCCGTTTGTCAGAGCAGGCATCTGTGTGTTCCTGGTGTCCGTGCATGGGAGCAGATGGAGGAGCTGTATTCAGAGGGCTGACTCACCTCCTGGGCACAGCCAGCACCCCCGTCACAGAGTTGGGGACCCTGCACTACCTCAGCGCTGTCTCAGCTATCCCCCCCATGGTGACTGCCTGTGGCCTTGTGAAGTCCTTTGTGCCAGATGAAGAAACTGAGGCTCAGAGAGGTTAAGTTGACTTTACAGGGCTGCACAGCTAGTGGGGCAGGGGCACTGTGACCGGGATTGTGAAGCCCCCTTCTCACACCTAAGGGAGAATTCTTGAGAAACTAAACGCTAAACGGATTGGTGCCCTGTGTAAGATATCCACATCGGATGGTGCAGCCCTCAGACTGGCTAGCTACTATTTAATTCCCCAAAGACAAGACTTGCTGGAGCCTTCCAGAAGCACAGGTTCAAACAGCAGGCCTCCCCCCCCCGCCCCCCCCACCCAGTGGAAACCAAACCCTGCCAAGAGATGGGGCCTTGAGTTAGCTGGAGGCGGTGCTTAGGGTTTAGTAGGAACAATGCAGAAGGTGGGCGTGGTGACTCACTCCTGTAATCCCAGGGAGGTGGAGTGTTAGAGTATGAGGCCAGTTTGGTCTGCAGAGCCAGACTCTGTCTTAAAATCCAATAAAAAGGAAGAAAGAAGGACAGAACAATGTGGGAAAGTTGTTGATTCCCTCTCAGCCTGGGTTTTCAATGCGGGTAATTGGCTTCGCAGGATTTACAGCCGTACCCTAAAGCCTTTGATGCGATGACTGCCTAGAGATGCCCGAGGGAAGGGAAAGGAAAGGGAGAGTCTGGCCGCCTGAGGTTCTAGGGAAAGCTGAGTCTCCTTCCCAGCACCGGCTGGCTGGTGCACTGCGGTGTGCTGGAGAACAGGCTGCTCCAGCCGCCTGGGTGTGGGGTCCCAACAGCCATTGTGACTGACTAGGTAGATAGTGTTGGTATTTAAAACAGATTCATTTAAACGGGTCCTGGAGCCTGAGCTCGGAAGCTGAGCTCTGCTCCTGAGCTTTTTTTTTTTTTTTTTTTGCTCAAGGCTGCTGCTCGACCATTTGAGCCACAGCTCTACTTCCTGCTTTTTGGTGGCTCATTGGAGGTAAGAGTCTCACGGACTTTCCTGCCCCAGCAGGTTTCAGACCTCGGTCCTCAGCTCTCAGCCTCATGAGGAGCTGGGATTATAGGCATGAGCCACTCTGCCTGGTGGTTGATTTTTTTTTTTTAAGCCTTCCAGCAATAAAACACTTTTGGGAAAAAAAGCATTGAATAGCTGCTGCTTTTGTATGGGTGGGCCGGGCTGTACGCAGCCTCATGCCATGTGTGGGGACATTTGCATGAGACCGCTGTCACTTCTGAGAGACTTCTTTCTTAGGAGCCTTTGGATAAGCTGTGTTTGCATTTTTCAAAACAGTGTGACTAATAAACCAACGGGGAAGCCAGGTGCAGAATACTTCCTAGTCATGCGTCTTTTAGTGATGGTGACATTTTAAATCCACCTGAAAATTGTACGTGCCTGTGCGTTCAGGTCTTTGACATGGCTGCTGCCTCCTTCCCGGGGCTGTGGGAAAAGGAGCGTTTGTGGGGTAAAAATGATTGGTCGGTGAGTCATTCAGACGTGTCAGGAAACATTGGAACTCAGCGAAATACTAAGATTGAGTAACCTTGCCGTAGTTTACTTAGGTGGAGGAGTGGAAGGTAGAGTCGGCTAGGCCCAAAGCATTGGCAAAAGTATGTGCCTAGTTAGATGCAGGCTAATGCCCCGACGTTTCAGTGGAGGACTGCAGACCAGGGGAAGGAGCTGCTGCCGCTCCGGCCTTGTCTGGCCGTGTGCTGCGCTCCCTGAACTCAACAGCTCGCCAAGGAGCTGACGAGCCTGGGGCGCTTGGCAGTGAGCTGGTTTTTCTGAGCGACACACACATCACTGAAGAGCTAGGCACTTGTTTTTGGCCTGGAGTTGATCATTTAGAGCTTTGATGACACTCTAGAGAATGGTCTCCTTGCTCAGGAACTGTGTGGTGTGTGTGGTGTATGTGTGTGCGTACGTGCGTGTGAGCGTGTGTGTGTACATGTGCGTGTACATGTGTGCGCGCACACATATGTGCATGCATGCATGTGTGTACCAGTGCTAGTATTGGGGCTTGAACTCAGGGCCTGAGCACTGTCCCCTGAGCTTTTTTTTTTTTTTTGCTCAAGACTGGAGATCTGGGGCTGGGAAGGTGGCTCAGCGGTAGAGTGCATGCCTTGCAAGCATGTGGCTGGGGTCTGCTGCTGGGTTGGCAGGCACACATGGCCCGGGCAGGGGTCCGCCTGCTGTGGGCACGGCGGGGGGGGGGACGCCGGGACGGGGTTCCTTCAGTCCACCTGCCGTAGCACATGGGGCGGCCGGGCTGTGACTGCCCGGCAGGGGACGGAGGAGAGACACGCAGGGGAGTCTGGGAGGATGCATGGGGTCACAGGTCACAGAGATCCGGGACGCACAAGCGTACCTTGTCCTCCTAAGCAGCAGGCAAAGCAGCACACAGGGGACTGGGGACGTGACTGAGGCAGTGCGGGACGCCTGTGTAGCCGGTGCCCGAGCTCCAGGGACGCCAGGCTTCCGCCCAGGGCCTGGGTCCCTTCGGGTCCATTTTGAAACCCGGTGGCAGGATCCTGTTGGGGAGCTGGTGTGGTGGAAGGTGGGGCCCTGGTAGCCGTGCCCCGACCCGGGTGTGGCGTGAGGCCTGTGCCCGGGGCCTCCGTCCCTGCCAGCTCCGGGATTCAAACAGAGGTAGATTTTATCTCGCGGGGCAGAGCGTGTGGAAAATCTGTCTGCGTCTGGCATGATTCTTGCAGCCTTGGGGTGAATAGTTTTCTAAGTTTTTTCTTGTCCTAGAACCCGCGTACAGGTTCACAGAAACGCCCAGAATGAAATTCCTGAACCAGGAGAGGAGGGGGCGGGCGAGAGGCTGTGACTAGCTCTGGGCTCCGTGGCCTTCCCGTTGCTCTCTGGGTGCTCGTTTGAAGGGTCGCAGAGTTTTTGGGGTGTGTGTCGGTGAGCCTCTGTGGGGCAGCCCCACATGCTGGATGCAGCTTTGTGGGGGTTGCATCCCCTCTCCGCCTTCCCCCATGGCTTGAGGCTGGATCCAGGTAGCCCCTCAACAAGTGTGGCTTGTTTCTGGAATGAACCAGAACAGTTCGAAGGCAGAGGCTTCTGCCCTGGCCACAGAGCCGCTGTGTCCACGTGGGACCCACGCAGCAGCTCAGGGCTGAGTGGGGTCCATGGTCCTGGGGAGATGGTGGGGTGTTTTCCAGG